GATGTGAAGCTGCCCGCTTCCCTGGATCCCCCAGGGACTGCGGGGGAGAAGGGCTCTTGTCTTCTGCATGGCTTCATCATTCATTTCTTCCCTGCTTGCTGCTCTTTGCCTCCCCCTTCCACTTCCCTCACGGTGTTTGGACTTTGTTTTTTTCCTCTATTTGTTCAAATCACCCTGGGTAAACAGGGAGCAGGAGCGTGGTGACTGGGGCCACTGGTAGCACTGGATTCCAGAGGCATTTTTAGTGGCTTCCCAGTGTCTGGAACGGACCTGTTCTGATGTGAGAAACTTTTCTCACTTGTTCTGTTTGCAGCTTTGCACAGAGATTTCCTTGGAAAGGCTCAGATTGTACGTTTTTCTTCCTGACAGTCAGGTTGACAATCTCTGTGCCTCAGGTGGCTGCTTTTGCAACAGCTCTGGTGGTGCCTGTCCTGCCAGTGCCATTTTTTGGGTTGCAGCTCTCCCCAGAGCCACCCAAGTTTTACCTGTCACACCCCCCTGTCCCTCCTTCTGCAGCCTGTGCACGATAGCCAGGCAAGTCCTCAGTATCTCCCTCTGCCATGGGATGCTCATGGAGAGGCTGATTTCATGGTTAATTGCTCCAAAACCTGGTTAGGAATGACATAAATGATTTGACCCGTTGAACTGGGCACCTCTGAAACCTCACAGATAACCTGGGGGGAACGAGACCCCTGTGGCTGCCAGGCTTTCTTGGGCTCTGGGAATGAAACTGGGGGGCTGTCTGGCTGTCCTGGACCTGCTGTCCCCAGCACTGTGGGGGGAGTGGTTGGACCTGGGGATCTGCTGGCTCCTCCAGGAGCCTGAGGGATGAGCTGGGACATGTGATCCCTGTGTCCAGCCACAGCCCCACTGTCAGCCAGGGGGCAATGCCTGTGCTCAGAGCTGTTGGCCACTCCATTTCTCACTCACTGAGGTGGGGGGGAGCTCGTATTTCTGGAGCAGGTTGGAGAAGATGCTCCCTAACAAATCTCTGCCCCCTGAGCTGCTCCAAGGCTTGTCCTGCATCTGGTGACTTGTGTGCCTGGTGACAGCAGGCTGAGAGCTTTGGGGAGTGTAGAAGAATGGGGAGAGTTTCATTGCTGTGAAATTCCCTTCAAGCCTTTTAGCTTGGAATGTTGCTTTCTGCCCCTTTTTGTTGCCCTCATGCCCCTGGAATGGCAGCCCCAGGGTGTGTGATGGTCAGGAATGTGGCTGGAGAGGGCTGCCCTCGTGGGGGATGCAGGACTGAGGCTCCTGGGAACCCCAGAGCTCTCCATAAAGGGTCTGTCCCTCTTCTGTGGGAAAGGCTGGCTGCAACCAGCCAGTTTGGGATGTCAGTGGTGAATTGAGAAGCCTTGGAGCTGTGTCAGCTCCTGTAGCAGTGCTGGAGAACCCCTGAGCTGGCTGCAGGGAGACTTCTGGACACGGGCTGACTTCAGCCCTGGTGTTTAACCACTGCAGCAGGGCCCACCTGCCAAGGGCTGGCTCTGAGTGTCAGGCTGCAAACCCACTGTCTTGGGTGGCTGAGTCTGTCTGTGTGGGAAGGGAGCTGGGCCATAATGTGTGTGTGTGTGTGCCTGAGCATTCCCACCCACCTGCCTCCCGGGAACAGGAGCACCTCAGCACCGCAGTGCAGCAAGGCTGGAATGGGAGCCTGGAATGGGAGCCTGGCATCCCCTTATCTGGGCCTTGCAGCAGATGGTGGGGATCTATAAACTCCTGTGGCTGAGGGAGGGGCTGCTCAGGGGCTGCTGCTCCTCAAGGATGGGAATGTTCCCCGGTTCTTGGTTGGGCTTTTCTCGCTCACATCTTCTGTGTGAGAAAATGTGGGAGTGAAGAGGTTGAGTCTGGGCTCGATTTGATGGGATCCATCTGTGTTATCTGGGCTTACTCAGAGCAGGACAGGCTTGTTGTGAGCCCAGAGAGGTGGTGGTCTGCCCAGGTGGGAGCAAGAAAGGGGGGGTATAGAGGATGTCACCCTGCTCGTGATGGGCATCGGGCCCAGCATCACTGGCCTGGCCAGGGAGGGAACTGTCCTGCTCTGCTCTGCCCTGGGGAGGCCTCCCCTGCAATATTGGGGCAGTTTGGGGCACCAGCACATAAGGAACATCTGAAGCCATTGGAGAGTATCCAAATGAGGCAGCGAAAATAGGGAAGGGCCTTGATTTGGAGCCGTGTGAGGACACTGAGGGCACTTGGTGTGTTCAGCTGCAGAAGAGGAGACTGAGGGGAGAGCTCATTGCAGTTCCAACTGCCTGGGCAGGGGCAGAGGAGGGGCAGGACTGAGCTCTGCTCTGGGGGGAGCAGGGACAGCCCCCAGGGAATGGCTGGAGCTGTGTCAGGGCAGGCTCAGGGTGGATC